ACAGATAGCCCATTGTGTAGCTTTGTGCTTAACTTCAAAACAAACAAACAAATATATTTTCTGAGATAACGCTACATATAATGAATCAAACACAGTGGCCTTGCCCACCTCTTTCCATTTTTGAAAATACTTGCTTAAGTACATCTACTTCTGTCTATGACGTGTGAATAACCAACTGAAAGCTCAGAATGTTCCCCTGGTGGTATTCTCAGTCTCTAGAAGGCGGGAAGTTCCCTAGATCATTTCTTTGTCTTTAATCACCGAAGGATGTGGTAAGTGAAAATTTTGTCCGTAAAACAATTTTTTTAATCAAATACAGTTTAGCTAGCAAGCCCGATACATTACGGTGGAATTCTGTTATATCGATAGAATAATTTATAATATTCCTAAAAAAAGTAATTTGTTTTACATCCTTCACATGCAAAATTGGCCAAGTCTTAGCAAATTATGGGAAATGGAGTTCAACAAAATCATTGTTTTTTATATTTCTTTATTTACTGTTCCACAACTTGGTTATAAATACAACCTTTCTATGTCTATTGAAACGGTGCATTAAAAAAAAAGCTCAGCAAACAAGTAAAGAAAAACTTAAAAAAAAGTAAATGTAAGGATGCCTAATATCTATCCTATACAATAACCCAGGCAATAATTAACATATACCAATATATATATATATAACTACTCAATCACAACCGAGTTTAATTTATCCTGTGTGACTGTGCTATTATGTGGTGATGATGCAAATGCCATCCCTACTATCTTATTTGCATTCTTCTTGAAGTTTTGATATTAGCCATCCTTACATTTACTTCCTTTTTGAATAGTTTTTTCTTTACTTGTATATTTGTGTTGCTTTTTCATATAGGAGATTGAGAGCTGATTTATGACATAAAACTTTGAACCATTTCTTAAGTTAAAATATTATTTGACACATGTTTTACACTTGTGGCCTTTAAACATGATGGAATTGGGATATATATTCTAAATCACTGAAAGAAATATGTCGAATTACAGTTAGCAGGTCTTTTAAAGTGAATAGCAAAGATTGTATAGGTACTCGAACATATATTTATTCTGTGACAAATAATAAGTCTTAATCTTGCTCCAGGAGCCACATACGCAATTTACACGGAATAACCAATAGTTTAACTCGAGCTTCAAATCTTTAGTTTCTTATGCGTTATAGATTGGATAAAAGCCAATCAACTTAACCTCAGGTAAAACATTGATGATGTTTACAGTGGAAAATAAAGCTGCAGTTGCTCTACCTCTTTACCTTAATGAATATTTTTGTTCTTCCGCACCGGATATTATTTTTGTATCTAGAACGAAATGACTTATATACACGTTGTAAAGATACCATTATTTAAAAGGTGAAAATATGTTTGACGGTACTCTCCATTTTAAAATACGTTAGTCAAAAATTTCCACCCCAGCAACGTAATCTTTTTGTTTATTTTATTTATCTTTAGGATTGCAAATACCAAAGTAGAAGTTAATAATATCAAAAGTAATATGTTGATTGACATAAAAATACTTTAAAGAAATCGGTAGTTTTGCAGTTTGTACAAATTAGGCGTAAAAATAATATTAATTTACTTACAATAAGCTTTAGATATTATATAAAATATTCTAAATGCACGTTTATAGTAATCAGAATTTTTAAACAAGACACTAAAGTGATAATCATATTTGGTAGATAGTGTTGATCCAATGACAAGCATGACTGAGCATGATCACGTGTGCCTTATGCAACATACAAGACAATTAAGGATAATTGACGTTATAGTAGTTTAGCTATAACAGGGGTATGAAAGTGTTATAAAACAATTTCAGACATTCTTTACAGTTGATGTTTATCCAACACATGTCTGTAAATGATCAGTCATGTTACATAAAATGGAGATAACTGATAATCCATTCTAAGTTTGTAAATGATCATTTGCTAGAGATAGCCTTAAATCTTTAGATTTTACTTCATTACGTACGGGCACTAAGAAAAGTAAATGCAGAACGTTACTTTATAAAAGAAATGTTTATCTTGCCATAACTATAATATAACGATTTCCACCCTAGTGGTTAATTTTCCAGGCTGAATATCAGAAGCTCCAAGATTCATGCTGTATGTAATATGTTGCTGAACAGGATCCGCAAGTTTAAGCGAGTGTTGCTATTCCTAAATCTTAATGGTCTCGGACACTTGAAACTCCCAAATATAATTTATCCTTTATTATTATTATTTATTTATTGCCGTCTATGTTGTGTAGTAGAATTAGAGTCATCATGTGTTATTTTAGCTCACACAGACAATTAATGTTAATTGTTTGTATTTTCTGTCGTATTTAAGCGAAAACAACAAAAAAGGTTCTGTTTTTTATAAAGTTACTTTTGTACACTGAATGCGTTCAGATGCATTTTTTAAATTCTGGAGGACTGTTAGCATACTTTTCTATACTTCAGTTTTTGTGTTTTAAGTAATAACACTAAACTCAATCCACAATGCTGTTTGCTTAAGTACTACACAAACGTTAGGCACATTTTGTTCCAATTTTAATCTACTATATTTCACTTTTACCAAGTTGATTATTAGAAACGAAATATTAAGTGACTTCATGGATAAAATAGCTAGTCTTTCCTATTATATCATTAGCATCATTGTGTATCGTAATTTAGTTTTTTTACACATCTTTACAAGTATTGATGATTTACGTGTCCCAATAACTGAAATCCACAACTTAGTCAAGAGAACTCACTCAAAGATATATTTTACAATTTTAGATACAAAATCACTGAAACTTAGTAAGCATATAATAATATAACACAAATGCAATACATACATTACAAACACATCTTACAGATAATATGGTGTATTCCATTAATGCACATTTATTATATAAATTATAGTTTTTGCCAACATATTTTTGCGAAAGCAGAAAACGGACAGTTTTCCAACAAAATTGGATAACAGCTGTGACTTTGGCCAAGATTTGTGAGTAACATTTAAATTTTTTTTCTAAAAACATAACCATGGATCAATATCCAAAATTTGGTATCTCAAATATGTGAAGGGGTCGCGAACAGGCTTTGAAAATAGATAGTTTATTTAGTGATTGATTCATTTAGTAATTATCTAGTATGCCATATGACTCTTTGCACTAAAACTGGTTATTGGGTGACGACTGATCATCAAATTGGTCTTGAGCCACAAATGGTTGAGAACCATTGGATTAAGGTTTATAGCTCTTGGACAACTCAGCTACACGTGATACATATTTTTGTGTTCGTACTACATTTTCAAATGACTCAATAAAAATTTGTAAATTTTTAAATCTTTGAGATAAAACAGAAACAAGGCAATATTTAATAATGCTGGCAAGAGTAGTAATGTTAGTGCTGTTTCCACATAATAATAAGTACCTCTAGCAAGAGTAGTAAGGTGCGTGAATTTACTTTCTTAGACGAAGAAAAGCAAAACCTCGTCAACCGTCAGGAATATTTTTCCATGGATCTCACCCTGAGCAAACACAAAACTAAAATTAGATTAGTTGCATCATCTTTCCTGAAGCCACTTTTTGATATAATATTTTGAATGTATTGTCTCATTCCGCTATTCTAACAAAAATATTCACCCGATAGCTTCAGTATCTTACCTTCTTTCCAAACCCAATTCTTTCAAACATCTTCATACTTCATAAGTTGAACATATTAATGGTTAACACTTACTCTCCTTCATATACATAACGTAGAAGCACATGCTATAGATGGAAACTTAATGGCTTTAAATGTCGACCATTACAAGAGCTATAGAATATATCTACTTTGAGAAATCAAAACTTTTGTTTATTTCTGCCTCAACAAATACTTGTTTTTAATGATACAACAGTTACAAAAAATATGGCACGTTAAAATAAAATCCACGAGATTCCGATTAGCTTGTGCTGCACGTGGTATAACTATACAAACATGGCCCCCCTCAATCGAAATTCGTTGGAAATCTGAACGAATATCACACAATCACAGCTTCTTTCCTGAAAAGAAGGCACGTAGAGCACTCGTGAGCTGACTATTTCAAACGCCAGTATTTTTTACATCCAAGTAGTCGTAAGTTTCCACAGGAGAAATTATTTTAGTTCGTCCTGTCAGTTTGAAGAGCTGCGTATCTCCATTGTCTTGATTCTTCTCTGGGTGATGTTCAGCCATTTCTAAAGCCAGCTTCGACGAGATTTGGTTATCGGCATACAGAAGAGGAACAGAAGGCGGCAACTGAAAATAACTTCAATAAGTTAAAGGCACAATTTCGTATAATATATTAAACAGGTAATAATGGGCTAACCTGAGGAAGATAACACTAACTTAACATTACAGCACAAAGTTTGTGGCGCATCATTCACGTAGAGTGAAGATTTTGGACGTTTACACATAACAAGTTTGAAATACTGCGGAAGTTCTCTTCAGATTACCAACAATTTTATTTTCATTTGCTTTCAAATATAAATAAGCCTTCATTCTCAGACATACATGTTTGGATTTGTGCATGGCATAATGAAAACAATGAAACTGCTTATAATATTTTGCGTAGTTTTTCAAAGATCTTTTGTTTAGTATAAACAAAACATAACAGAAGAAGTTTGTTTTAGTTGAGAATTTCACTGTTGTGATACCGAACACGCGTAACAACTAATACAGATAATACTCATTAAAATACAATCCTTGCATTTGTGTACTTTAGCAATACGAGCTGCTTTCCGTATGTGAAAGTGAAATCTACAAACATCAAGATGCCAAGTTTTTTTTATTGTGGGTTATTTATATAATTCTGAATTACTTGTCTGTACATTAACTAAACTTTTTTGACTTATAATTAGGATTAAAATATTCCGAAGTCCAAATATTCCTGACTATGTTATAACTTCGGGCATTAAATGTCATTTAATGCTTAATCTAAGGGGAGATTGTCTGAGTAGATTCTAATGTTCAATAATAAAATCCATTCAGTTGCATTTCAATGAAGCTGGTACGTATCCTAAGCTCAGCACAAAACAAAAATCTTGTTACCACAAATGTGTTAAATAGCCCTCTACATACATTGATTCATTTAGACTAATGGGTAAAAAAAAACAGAGCAAAAACTGCTGAATTCAATAAATATTATTTGTAGTTTCAGTGTATTAGCCACATAATCGGACCCTTACGATAATGTTTTGGTGTACTGAAGTATTATGAATTAAAAAGGTATGTTTGTTTGTCAAATGTGGTGCCGTTTTACCTGTTACAAATTCAATAGGAGTTAAGGTATCTTATTCTTCATTTTGTTGGTTGAATAAATTGAAAAATAATCTATGTAATTATTATTCTCAAAGTTAGCTGTGGTAACTTGTAAGAAAGAAAATGTATCAGCTCATATTAGGTAACAACTACATACCATGACGACCTTTGTAGAGGAGTATCGTTTCTCTTTTACTATGGATCAGTAGGAGAGATTATAAATAATAAGATCGTAGCAAAAAACAAATTGGTTAAGTATTATTGTGAATATATATTCATTCGTATAGTTAAAGTTTCGGACTACCGCTTTTATTCAGGACTAACAGCAAGTGTTGAAGATTCGAACTGATATGGCTGTATGCAGTGAGTCTTAGTGAGGTGTGATATGAATTCAACGTCAACATGTTACCTTACAAGAACAATTATTATTTGCATAGTCAAACAGAGTGTCCACGGAAATATTAAGTCTCTTCGAACAAAATCTGTGAGATAAAATTGCAAATGTCCACAGTCTCAAAAACCTTTTTATTATTTATTCATGCGAAATTTGTCAGTGTTTTGAATAACGATTATTCTTAGAATGTGTTTATACATCAAAATATGTTCGTTAGTTTCTGAATATCAATTATTTTTAATTGTATCATTCTTGAGACGCACATTAGATTAGTCACATAGCTTTCCTGAAATACGTTTTCAATCTTTCAATGCATAGTTAGATACATCTATATGAACCCTGATTAAAATTGTTACTATTTTTGAGCGCAGTCACCAGAATATCAGCTTTAAGTCTAAAGGCTTATAATTCTATAATCCAAATTTCGATAGCATTGTTGGACATAACACAGATGACCCATTGTGTAGCTCTGTGCTAAAGAACAAACAAACAAAGAATTTTGAGCACAGAACCTCTTATTAAAGCTGTGCAAACTACCTTTCCTTGCTATCATAGTGAATCTTCGTTACATAGGCGAGTATAAATAAACATCCCAGAAACGTTTATCTAACCTTCCTTTTAGGGTTACTTAACTTATTTTTATCCATTTTAAAGTACTAAATATTATTTCTTGTTCTGCAACTTTCGCCCTCTTTTTTTATGGACGTTATAATCGTAACTTAAGTTTTAATTTTGATAAATGAATACGTGTTTTATTGCTTATAGTTATCTAATAAGCTGTCTTTATTCACAAAAACAAATCCCTTAGCCTTTTTCTTCTGGGCTACAACTTAAGTATTAATTAATTTCATGGATAATTACACGTTATTCAGTCTCATGTAACTAATAACCTATATCGTCTCAGAGGAGATTCTTATAATAGCTCACTTTCAACATTCGTTCTGCACCCGGAAAATGTTTGACTTAATTTTCTGTAAGAGAAAACTTTCCATAATATTTCCGTGTATGTTGTAAAGTCAAATGAGGTATCAAATGTTTTCTGTAATATTTTGTTTTAGGGTACCTTAGATTAAACTGAGCAGTATTGCAACACCGAGAATTTCCCTCATTATGTGTTCAAGTTCAAGGCTAACATTAGTTTCAGAGTAGAATCACACCGTGGTCAAAAAGTGATGACTTTTATAACGTAGTGTATAATCTCAGTGTATTGTTCGAAAAGGTGCGTTTCTAATTTTGTGTAGGAGACGATTTAACGGTATTCAAAACTTATTTTACAATCTCTAAAATACGTCAGCTCGAACGAAAGTATTACGGAAGCTTCCTAAGATTTCACTTGCTGATATTAAACAACTGCCGAAAGTCATCTTTGTAACACATTCTCCGTTCTTCTACAGGATCCAGTTTTTAACATGTAGATTATGTATGAGGTATGTATGGATAAATTATATAGAAGGGCTGGGATAACGCTTATTTATCCCCGAAATTCTTGGTATTGTTTTTTGTTTGTGTATAACCTGACGACACTAATATTCCTTGCGACTGAACGCGAATTTAATAGCAGATTAACGAAAAACGAATACAAGTTTAAAATAGGCAGTTGAATGTGAATGCTAAATATGAAGGACTGTGATGGGAGATTTGAATGTAGAATACCCAAACCTTTAGGATTGAGATCTAGCTGTTTAGTGTCTAAATGTCAAGAAACATCACATTATTTTAAAAGAATGTTTTTCAAGGGCCATGATAGAGATTTTCTTATCAATGGTGCAAGAGTATCGTCTTCTTTTTATATATATACAGATGTGTGATTCATGCATGGTTTTAAAATAAGTTTTGAATGAGAATGTACATTATCTTTCGGAAGTCATAACTTTCCAGTCTATATTCATCTTCCAAACTTCTGAAACAATGATGAAGAAAAAGTGCATTAGAACCTATGAAACTGTAATAAAGTTAGGTGTAAAGAACATCGGGTGGTGTTTAAAAATAGAACCTATGAAACTGTTATAAAGTTAGGTGTAAAGAACATCGGTTGGGGTTTAAATATAGAACCTATGAAACTGTTATAAAGTTAGGTGTAAAGAACATCGGTTGGGGTTTAAA